ACCAGTTTTAGCTGTGAGTGGATTGCCGGCTTCTAGCTCCACCTACTGAGTCAAACTGAAATAGCAGAAACATCGAGCTTTCATCTTTTTCTAAAAAAAATGTATCCCAACTGCCCCCTAACACAGATCAGGAACCAGCAATAAGGAGCATGAGCCAGTAAGTAGAACAGCACACAGTAAACAAGGCAGGGCAGGCTCTGTTGGAAAACCAGAGACTCCCTGGGACCCTGGGGGTTATGGAATTATAGACCGCTAAAAGCTTGGAGACAGTTTTTCTAGTTCTAATTTGAACTCTGCAAAAAAAATGTTCTTATTGCACTTGACGTGCCGTTTGGAGATATCACAGGCATTTCTTACATTGCTTTCCCTGAATCCAAGGTCTTACCAAGTTTTACACGGAGATTCTCACTCCCTTCCTTGTCCAGAGATAAATTACCCTGGGAGGATAAATATTTTCAAGGCACGCTTTATATGAAGATAGAAAAAAGCAGCTTGAACCTCGTTGTTCTGCATGTCAGCAGAAGGCTGCTTGCACCGAGATCTCCCAGGCTGCTCTAAGAGAAGCCATTTCAAGGACTAATTTCAGAACTAATCAATTGTTTACTTAAAAAGCGGTTACTATAGAAATTATCGTTATGGACTGGTAGAACTCAGGCAAAACACAAAGTGTAAGAAATGTTTAACCTCCTAGCTGACTCCTGGGCAGTCCACAGTTGATGCTGCCTTAAATGCCAGTAATAAAACAAACCTCAAAGAGCAAAATATTAATTTGACACATAAACTTTGATATTCAAACACAGGCGAGGTGGCTCTGGCTTGAGAGGTCTCATTTACACTTTTGCATTACAGATCCTTTATGCATAAAATGCACCAAAAAAAAAAAAAATCATTTCATCTTATGATTTGTCTTGTCTCTACTTTTACCTCTGACAGCATCTGAAGAGAATGAGAAAGAATCCAGAAGCTCACCCAGATGTCCTTTGCCTCAATTTGACATGGTGTTTTTCAAGTTTATACTCACAAAGGATAAACAGTTTGAAAGCCTGTGTAGCAAATTAGGAGCCTGAAGTACACTTTGAAAAACCATTTGTGCATGTTAAAACGTAAGTCTCACAGAGTACTAAGGCATTTTAGGATTTCAAGTGCTCAAGCCATTTCTTAACTAAGACTCCCAAAGAACTAAATATATTACAGAACAAGTGTTTTATTTTTTAACAGAGCACTTGCAGGTTTCTTCAGCAAATCAGTTGTTAAAAGTGTTGCTTTCTGGACTTGTTTTTCCTTTCTCAGTTCTCCCTGTGAGGAAGTGGTCAAAGCTGGCACGATGTTTTAAGGGCAACTATCAGAACATGTAATACTGGTATTTGAGGTGGAATACCAATGATTCTCAAGACATTGGAGCAGGACATATATGTGTATTTCCAAGTGGCATTTATGATGGATAAGTATACCAAAAGGCAGAATCACCTGGCTTACCACACCAAACTGCAGGCAGAGGTGATCCAGAACTGGGAGTGTTTGTGTGTTAATTGGAATGTAAATGCAGAGTTTGAGTGGTAACAGTAATGTAAATTTACCTTCTGCTGTAACTCCAGGCACTTCTCCCCAGCCAGCACCACTGTTCTTAAATTCTGAGTCTGTCTGGATTGCCTTCATTTTCTTGACTCTCAAGGCCACAGCACTTGAGAGGCTCACAGGAACCTTGCTGTAATGCAGAAATAGAGATGGTAAAAAAATAGAATTTAAAGCAAATGTCATGGCTACATAAAATCAGCTTTTAGTCATTCTTTTCCACATGTAATTTACAGGTATTAGAACAGAGTGTTTTAGACAAATCTTAAATTGTATATCACAGAAAACAGTACTTTTCTGAAGTAGAGACATTTGTGCTTTTTTCCTTCTTTCTCCCTTTGCTTTGGGCAGCAGTCCATCATTGCTGAACAACTTTGATTTTATTATTTCCATTAAAAATAATTCACGATGGTCTAACTTTAGTTTATTTTGCCTCCCATTTCAGATGGGTCTTCCTTTTTTTGGGGAGACAATGCTATGTATGCACCAAGGAGGTCCAGTGAGCCAGTCCCTTTGGTATGTGTGTTGAAACAATACAATTTGGGCTTCAAAATTCCCAGAATGATATGAATAAAAACAACAGCTGCAAAACAGTATGTGTCAAAGATAATCAGTGCATTCACCAGTGAGAATGGCAGGCTTTGGGTGTTGGATCAATTTTATAGTTTATTTGATTAATCATCTTGGTAGCCTCGTGGCAGATGTAGCAGCCGTGAGTTTGGGTTAAAAATACAAGAAGTTACAAACTTTTTCCAGTTCCTATATTAATTGCAAACAAATTCACTCCCCCTGCTTCCTGACCTTGACGATGACACTGCTTCCAGCAGCTATATATACGAAACTGGAAGCAGATCCCTGTGGATAATTACACCACAGAAGAGGTTTTCAATGTGTTGGCTGTTCCACAGAGCCTCCTGTTCTCCAGGCTGAGCTCCCCCAGCTCCTCATGACTTACCCTCTGGACCCTTCCTCAGGCCCTCCGCCCTTCTCTGGACACATTCCAGCGCAGAAGGCTCCAAGGAGGGTGGCAAGGAGAGCAGGGATAAACTGGATCTTACAAAAACGGAGGAAAAGGCCTTGCTCTGCAGCGCAGGGTGAGGAGGCGCCATTCTTTGAACAGGACAGAGGTCAGCCCATAAAAGAAACGGAACAAACAGTCTCCGACAGGCCACGCTGCCTGTGCCAACACAAGTGGGGCTGGTAATAACTCCTCCATCTCAGCCGGGGCTGGGGAATACCGGGCAGAGAGAGAAAATACTGCTGGCCCCTTTCCAAGCCTAACAACTTGAATGGATACCTGGAATTAGGTGCAAATGCCCCCAGTACTAAAGGCAGATTTGTGACACAGCGTAACAGAGCTTAATGGCACAACCACGCTTCAGCCATTTCCACCTTACGCTACCCTTCAAACAGACACAGGGCAACCAACAGCTCAAAGGGTAAAACCCAGCCCCTGCAACTGCCCTTCCCAAATCCAGCTGGGTCAATTTGGTGCATCTGGACAACCCGTTTGGCTGCTTGTACAGCCAAAGGAATCCAAGATGTGTTTTGCTCAAAGAAGTCAGTCACCTCTTGGATTAAACAATGAGGACGAGGTCACTTTTCCACGCTTATCCTTGTCACACCACACAGTGAATCTCAGGTGGTAGGGCTGAGGTTACCTATACTCACAGTTCTTTTTTCTGCTTCTTGTGATGACAACAAATAGCAATAATGTACAACAGAAATGCTAAATAACACATACAATATCTTATATATTATATATAATAATAGCAAATGTTTAATCTGTGCTTGTACCTCAATAGAAACCAGTAAAAAATCAATGCATTTACATTATTTTTAATGAAAAAAAAAATGGTGTTCTCCAACACCAGCCAAATAAAAGCGGTAACAAATAATCAAATAACGACAATCTCTTTCCATTTCTGAACTGGAATAGTCATAACTGGAATTGGTGTTTGTGGCTTGAAACTCTGATTCCAAACCGTCTGTAGCGTACCAGGACATTAGAGCTATGACTGACCTTTCCAACATGTTTCTGTGGTTAGAATAATTTTTATTTCCAACAGGTCTAAAAAATAACAATGGAAAAAAGCCCATTTCTCCAATGAGCATGCATTGACTGCCCAAATTTAAATATCTGACATATTTAAATTAACTATATATTATATATATTATATCTATCTATCTATCTATCTAGATAGAGATATATATTTAACTAACGTTTATACTTAACATGTTTAACTTTTGTTACTGCAGGACTTGATCTGCCCCAATGGAGGTGATGCCATTAATATCCCGAGGACATTTTAAGGATGAAAAGTCTGGGCTGGGGGCCCGAGGGAGGAAACGGGGTGTAGTGATACAGTTAACAGGGGTCATTAAACGAACACGGTCCAATTGACACAGGAATTTTGATGTTTCTGGCATTTTCAATAGTGTTGTTTTAAAACAGGGTTTTGGAGGTTATCTTTGAATGCACAGTGTCCAGTGTGAATGAACTGGATGGAAGAACACAGAACCCCAGAATTATTTATGTTCGAAAAGACCTCTGAGACCATCGAATTCAGCCTTTGACCGACCACCACCAGGGCACGTCCGGTCATTCCCTGGACATCGCCTTTAACCGGAATTCTGCGCGTTGTGGTTTCACCACCGCACTTTGTACTAATTTATTTTCCGGCATTTTCAGCGACGCCCCAACAGTTTCTTTTTTAAAAGGGGGGTTGGGAGGTTGCCTTTTAACGCACACTGCACGCACTCTGTGAGGGAACACCGCTGTTAACCGGAACTGTGCGTGTTGTGGGGTGTCCCCGCCGGCCGCTCCCTCAGGAGGGTTTCCCGCCCATGGGCACGCGCGCCCTCCCTCACGCCCCGGGGGCAGCGCTGCCCCCGCAGACCGCTCCGACCGGGCACCGCCGCAACCGCGGGAGGCCCCCGGGGGGCGCCCCCGGGGGGCACTCCCGGGGGACGTTCCCGGGGGCGGGGGGCAAGGCTTGGCCGGGGGTGCCGTTCCCCTCACCGAGGCGGGTCAGGCTGAAGGCTGAATGCTGAGGGGTGAGGGCTGAGGGTGATGACGCGCGCGGCGGTTCCGGCGCCGGGGCGGTGACCGAGGCGGCGGCGCGGGCGGAAGGAAAGGAAGGAAGCGGGGGAGGAGGGGCTTTCGCCGCCGCCGCCGCGCTCTGGTTGCCGGGAACGGGAGAGGGCCATAAGGGGCGTGGGCGCGCGGCCGGGCGGCGCGAGGGCAGATTGGGAGCGCGCGCGGCGCCAGCGAGCGGGAGCGGCGTGAGCGGCGGCCCCAGGAAGTATCGCGAGAGTTGGCGCGGCGGCGGCGCCGGCGCTAGAGGTGACCGAGGCAGCAGCGGCCGCGGGCGCCTCCTACTCCTCCTCCTTTTTCTCCTCCTCCTCCTTTTCCTTCCTCTCCGGCCATGGAGAAAGCGGTCGGCGCGGCGGTAGCGGCGGCGGTGACGGCGGAGGAGGGAGGCGGTGAGGGCGGCGGCGGCGAGGCCGGCAGCGCCACGGCGGGGCCCGGTCCCCCTGAGGGGCCGAGCGGCCCCGCCGCGCCCCCCTCGCCGTGCGGGCCCGGGGCGGCGGGGCTGGTGCGGGTGTGCGACCTCCTGCTGAAGAAGAAGGCGGCGCCGGGCAAGGCGAAGCGCGGCGGGCGGGCGGCCCGGCCGGCCAGCAGCAGCGAGAGCGGCGGCGGCGGCAGCGAGAGCAGCAACAACGGCAGCGACGACGACGACGAGGAGGAGGAGGAGGAAGACGAGGAGGAGGAGGAGGAGGAGGAGGAAGAGGAGGTCTCCGAGGTACGGCGTGGGGGGAGGCCCCGGGGGTTTCCCCGATGATCCGGTTTCATAATTCCAGCCCGCTGCCGGCTCCTCCCGCCCGCGGCCCTGCGGCACCGCCGGGGAGAAGGGTCAGCACCTCGTGGCGCGGGCACGGCCCATCCCGACCCCGGGCACCCCCGCCGCGGGCAGCGGCCCCCGCTGCCCCCCATGGTTTTCCCCGGGGGTCGGAGGCTCCCTGGGAGCGGCGGCCAGAGGCCACCTTTCAGCCTGGTGTGGCTTAATGCCGAAGGGAAAGGCCCGGGAGCTGCAGCAGGTGCCCTCTGCCGCCGTGCTGCGTGCCATGTGCCGTATCGCGATGGGTATGGGAACCCGGAGAGCGAGGGCTGGGCGGTGGGAGTGCTGCTGGCACGCCCGGGATGGGGCTCCGGGGATAGGCCGGAGCGCTGGGTGAGTGTCTGGGAAGGTGTGGGCACTCCCAGCCGTGGGAATAGGTCGTCTTGGAGAGAGTGTGCAGGTAAAGCAGGTGAAGGTGCAGCCAAGGCGAAGGCCGTCGGACAGCCTGGGGTGTCCCGCTGTCGTTCAACGCCCCCTCCAAAGCTGCCAGCAGCCTCCATGTAAAGCAGAGCCAAGCCCAGGAAAGCATTAATAACTCGGGTTTGTCTAATGCTCGGTTTCTCAGGTGGGTATCTCCGGGAAAGGCCAGGCGAGGCTGGAAGGCCCTGATTTACGTCCGTGCTCACACACAGGTCTTTGCTGGGTGGTTTTAATTCTTTAACCCCCTCAGTTGGACCTGCACTTCCGCTTTTTTTTTTTTTCTTCTTTGAGTAGTGTCCTCAAAAACGTCCACTTGAAGTTTGTTGGCTTTTCTTTGAACTCGGTTTCAGAAAGGTTTGACTTTCAAGTGGTACATCTGCATTTCAGTTAAAAATTGAGCAGGAAGGAAGAGCCTGATAGGTTCGAGGAAGGGCTGGGCCAAGATGCACTCTGCATTTTATCCCTGCTGAAGTTGATACAAGAAACATTTTATCCACGTGCTCTGAGATAAACTGCACACAACAGGCATGTCACAACAAGTTCTCACACTCGGCATTTTGTTTCTGTAGTGCTGAGTTTCAGGAAAGTGAACATCGTCGTGTAGGTAGAAGTTTTTGAGGTGTAAAACTTGTAGGATAACTGTTTTGGTGCCAAACTGTGGTGTCCAGCAGTCCTACAGATGCTTGGAGAGCTCTCTTGAGCAGAATCCTTTGCGTTTTGCTGTGGTGGTGTCTGGCCCTTGAGTGACTTTGATGTATCTGTTGGCAAGCCCTGAGATTAGTTGTGTGTGATGGAAACAGAATTTGTGTCGAGTGAGACTTACTGGCAAAATCACAGGTTTATTTAGTGGTCCGTGGCCATTCTTCCCACTGGTTCTTTATACTGGGAGCTCTCTGGTGGACTCACTTGTGCAGCGTGAGGAGAAGGGCGGAGACAGCCAAGGAGTGCGGGTAGTTGTTGAGGAATTCCCTGCATGAGGTGAGCCTTTGTCTCCGTGCTCAGAGCCTTAGGCAGCTACCTCACATGCTTCGAGACCTGCAGAGAGATGAAAAAAAGCCAATTATTAAATATCATGAGGCAGAATGCTTGGCTCTATTTTTATTTTTTTTTTTTTTTTGACAGTATGACATGTGCTATAGACACTGATAGCTGGGAAGGCATTTGGGGCATCTGGAAGCTTCCCTCATGGTTTCCATCATACAGCAAGTGGAGGCTCTGCCAGACGGGGTGGTCTGGGATAGAATATTAAGCAGTGCTAAGCAAGCAAGTGGATAATACTGAGTTTTATGAAGTTGAGGATTTGTGGCAAAACGTATGCCATGGGCGTCATTTGTAATCGTTCTTTTTCTTGATCATGCAGGTTGCTTGCAAAAATCTGTTCTAGTCTTTCTCCCACTGACTTCAGGATAAAATGATGCAGCTTGTAGAACATGCACAGCCGAAGCCACTGTTTTTGGGAATGTGAACGTGGGGATGGCCTGATTAATGGAACAGAGCGTCCAGCTTCAAAGTTGTTCCCAGCAGCTCCTGGGGAGGAAATGTGTTTTGAGTGTTCTAAGCAAAAGGGAGGTTTCCTTGTTTGAAAGCAACCTCATGGTTAGTTTTGGCTTATAGAAACTTAAAAAAAAAAAATCCTACAGTAGAAACAAAGGGGGTTTTAGTTGTTTGAGGGTTAAATTTTTTTTTTAATTTCAGATTTACTGAAGTTGTGCCCAGCTCTGTAGTTGGATTGTGGTCTTCTGACCACTGTCAGTCTGGAAGGCACATAGAATGAAAAAAAACGAAAGAAATGTAAGTTTCTGGTTTTGCTGTAAGTGGAAACTACTGTGGGAACACTGCAGACGCTGGTGTTCCCTCCCAGCCATTCCCTTCATTATCTCTGTAAACTTAAGACAGTTTGTCTTAGGCTATTTTTTGCCCTTCCCATGCCTAATACATTAAGACTTCTCTAATCTCTGAGGCAAAGTGCTTCTAGATTTGACTGCTAGTGAGGCAGCTTCTAAAAATCAGGAGTACAGTAGCAACAAGTCCAAGGTTCTCTGAGGGGAAACCTGGCAGATCTGAAGTCGCAGGAACCCCAGGAGTGGGAAGACATCGTTTGGCTCCCGTGTTGCTGAGCTGATGGAACGGAATAAAGAGTTGTAATCGGATGTTTTCATCTCTGTGTCTGAACTCCGTCAGATGTCCGTGTGGAAGCACAGGCACTGGAGAGAGCTTTGGCAGAAGTTAAATGGAAATTTCAAGCCAGCAACTTAATGAGCTCCTATGACACTGTTCATGGCAACCTTCAAGGTGGATTTTTTTTTTTTTTAAAACTGCAGCAAATGACTGCAAAAAGCCGAGATCTTAGGTAGCACGGTCTGGTGCTGTCTGCAAATGGCAAATTGCCTTTTCCCTAAAAATGAGTTAGTAAAAAATGGCAGCTTTTCTCAGTACACAGGAAAAGGAATCCTTAAGTATGAGAACAATGACAGTAGGAGTTACATAGCAGGGGAGGTCAGCTTGCAGGTTCCTTGCAGGTGTTCTTATACATACTGATTTTGTTCCGTATTTGTCTTCAACAAAGGGTAAAAAATATTAATAATTTCTGGTAGCAAGTTGCTACTTGAAAATCTGATGTCCAGAGTGCATTAGGGCTTCTCTTGAAGCCCTAATGTTCTTCTTGAACACAGAAAGGTTGGGTTGTATAATAAAAACTGTTCTCAAGCTGATTTCTAGTGTTTGAACTTAGAGGAGGTTTGCTGCTGGCAGTCAGGTTTGTAATTGCTCTTTCCAATGTTTTATCCATCTCGAGGGTTTGTAAGTTCAGTTTTCTCCCTGAGTTTCATGATGATCCAAGGTGTAGGTCCATCTTGGATTTGTGTTTATTTCTGTACTCTCTTCCATTTTATTATGTTACTGGATTCCTACATCACGTGCGAATTAGTTTCCCAGGACACAATCCTCCATTAACTTCCTGAAAGTGCTGTCCTAGGCAAAGGGTGCTTTTTGAGATGCTTTGGCTGTTTCTTAAGCATTCTTGGTTTCACTTGAGCCTGCTGTAAACACAAGGTCAATTTTGTTTTTTCAGCTACAATTGAATTAGTAATTGAACTGAGGTAGTAAGATGAAGGAAGTAGAACAGCAAAACACCACAGGTCCTTCATACAGAAGAAACTACTCTTAATTTTTTACGTTCAGATTTAAGGCATTAATCTGAAAACTCGGGCTTCCTGGTGTGGTTTCAGGAGCGTTACTGGCACAGGAGTGTAATACTTATATGGGAAGAGGCTTGCAGAGCTTAAGTGTTCAAGTGAGCTGATTGGGAACACAGAATTTATGTTACAAATCTCTGGTTTTCTTAGCCCCAACTCTCTTAATTAGAGTCCTGGAGTAAAGCCTTTGGGTTCTGCAGGGCCAGTAAGTCTGGCTGGACCGCTGTGTTCACTCTGCTGCCATTACTTTGGTGTCCTTGGGTCTCAGGGAGGTGACTGAGCGTGCAGCTTGTTGGGCCCTGTGCTTGGGAGTGGGTGACATCCCGAGGTGCACTTCAGTCTCGGGCTCTGCCACGTTGTTTATGCTGGAATTCTCTTTTCTTCTGTCTGTTTTGGCTGGTTTTTTTGCCAGTACCACTTTGTTTCCTCCCTTCCAAAGACAAAATAAAGGTGAAATCCCTCAGGATGGTTCTCAAAAATCCCTGAGGTATGAGGGCCGATCCCAGGGCTGTTAAAAAGTGAATTCCACCGACCCCAGGAAGCATTAGGCAGAAATGTTTTATCATCCCTTCCTTACTGTTCCTAGACTAGGCTCCAGCAAAATCAGTCTGAGTACACCTAGCACATAAGTTTCTTAAGAAATCATAAATATTATGAATTTTCTCTTGTCTGCTCTACTTATTGGAAGTAATTACTGAATATCTGGGTTGGAAGAAAAAAAAAAAAGGCCCTGCATAAAGTGACCACTGCAGAAGGTGGAGTTCAGTATTGGTGGCACCATGTGAATTTGTTTACTTCCTTAGATATTTCTTCAGGAAATGTCCCTATAAACATAATTCCACTGTGCAGGCTGGAGCCAAACACCCCATATTTTAAGCCAGTAATTCAGTTCTTTAAAGAGAATAGGTTCTTTGAAAGAGATTTGGCTGAGAGAATTTCCTCATCTGTCAAGGTTGAAAGCAAACGGGATTATGTGTGTTTGGTTCTTTTCCCCTCTGTCTGTGTTTTAAAACCAAAACTGTTGGTGCTTATTTAGGATGTAGCTGATTTGGCAGTTGGATTTGGGAATTGAGAAATCAGTGCTGCAGGTCCAAGACAAGTAAGAAGCCTTTGTTTCTGGGGTTAAAAGGGAACAAGTCCTTTTAACCTGGTGTCAAATAAAAATTGCCCAAACTTGATGTTAGTGGTTTTAGGCCATTTGAGCAGAATCTTTCCTGGGTTCTGCCTTGGTTTTTTTTTCTGAAATGGTGTTCTGATTTGGTGATGGGGTGGCTTTGTAGGTGACTAAACTGAAATGGCATCCTGAAGATGTGCTGTGTCTGTAGAGCTTCTGCACCAATGTGGGGCTTTTTTTGTCACGTCCGTAACCTTTGGTCTGTGAAGAAAGAAAACTTCCTTAACAGAAGAAATCCCGGGGAAGGATTAATGCTGGCAAATGTTCTGGGCGAGGTCATTCAGCTAACACGTGTACTCAAGGGAAAAGTCTTCCTTAACGTGAGGTTACCTTTGCCAGGGAATATCAACGTCTTGGTGTTTGTGTGGGAATTCTGGTGACCTCCATCCAGTTATTGTGCACAGGAATTCTGGAAAAAAAAAATCCCTTCTTGACCAATGAAGGGCAGCATTTCCTCTCTGTTTTCAGCAAGCAGTGCTTTCTGTAAGTCAGTGCTTAGAGAGGTTATCTCAGTATTCCAGAGGTTTGTCAGCCACATTGCCCCCCCTGTGCCATCCTGAGCTCATGACTATCCAAAGCCACTGGAGGTGTTACTTAACTGTTGTGTCACCTCATTTTCACATGAGGTAATAGTTGTACACCAGGCTAAAAATCAGCCACGAAGCCAGGCATGCCTTTAATACATCTTTGTGTGTGCTTGCAGTGTTTTCTTTTAGGCTGCACGTTGTCATTAGGGTGATTTTGTTGGCATTGCCCAAAGCAGTTTTTGACAAATTCACATTACTGGTGTTTGATGTACAGCCGGTTTTCCTCTGCTGTCCTTCAAGCTGCATCCTCGAGCCTTAGGAGTATAATGGTGTATTCTAGGAAATGAGCTGAAATGAACCTTGATTTTATGTCTTCCCTGCCCCACCCCAGTAGTTTATGTGGTGTTAATCATCAAGAATGGATAACATGTCCAAATAGGCAGCTGCTCAGGTGCTAGAAAAATGTCGGAATATTAAGGAATATGATGAAATATTGCTATTTAGAATATCAGTTTGGGGTTTGGGCCTCCATTCTCCTCAAGTTCAAGTTGAAACAGTTAAAAAGTTAAGGGTCTAGATTTTATTTTCTTTTGAAGTAAAAATGGAAGGCATCCTGCACACAGTGATATGAGTTCTAACTGCTGCTAAGGGCTGCTGCCCTGTGTTTGGGCTCAGGTTGGATTCCCCTTGTCCTGATGAGCAAGGAATGCTTGTTTCTAAGCCTGCACATCTGTCCAGCTGTGCAGGAGCAGTCGTGGGGGTTGCAGCCCCAGCAGAAAGGGAGTGTGTGAAAGCTCTCTGGAGGGCAGGGAGTGATTCAGAGATAAGAGGAGGAAGGTCGTTTTTATCCTCCCGGCTTTACCTCCCAGTTCTTCCCACACACCGGAGCAGAACTTAACACTTTAGGAGAAGCTCCCTCGTGCATCTGTGTCTGGCAGGTGACTCACATGTTTTCCTGTCCTGGAGCTTTACTGTTCCCAAACTTCAGGTGTTTGTTGCCTTTCCTTCAGTCTTGTCCTGAAATGCTTTGCCAGCGGAATTTTCCTCTGGATGCTGCTCTGCAGGTGTGAGTTGTTCTCCTCCACAGAACGGGGAGCAGTGCTTTAATGAAGTTGAACATTTCAAGTCATGATGTGACTTAGTGGATTTTTGTTTCCTGGAGTGCTCAGTGTTGTTCAGCCCCTGTGTCAGCGTGGGTACTAATCCCACTGAAGTTGGGGGAGTTGGGCTTGGAGGAAGGGGGAGGGAAAAAAAAAAAAAAGGCATTCATTGCTCCTCCCAGCCCCTTGGGAAATGATCTCGTTTAAAAAAAAAACCCTCAGCAACAGAAAAACCACGTTTCCAGTTGATCAGTTCCTGGATCCAGTTTGTCAGGCACCAGAGGTTGTGCTGACACAGCGAAGAGCCAGGAACAGGCAGGGAGGAGGATGAGCACAGCCTCTTTCGGGGGGATAATTCACTTAAAGGCCTGTCAGAGAAACACTTACGTGATCTCGGAGGGCTCCAGTTGGTAAGAATGGTACAGAGCAGGGACAATTTTTGTCTTCAAGGGCAAACCAGTCCTCTTGACACTTCCTCTGGATCTTCTGTTTGGAAGTGGCTGGCACAGATAAATCACACGGAATTCTTTTTTTGCATGTAGCTCAAAAACTTTAAGCTTCATGAGATAAAACCAGCACTGATTTTCTGTCTCCGGTATTTGTTCAAGTTCTTGAGAGCAGCATATTAAGAATAGGGAGAAAGGGAAGAACAAAGCAGGATTTTATTCCA